CCCCCGTACATCGAGCACTGCCTCTTTGCCGAAGAAGGAGTGTCTTTCGTGCGGTACGCAAAGATGCGGAACGGATGTACCCACGGCGCTCGGCGTCCTCACACATTGCCCTTTACTTCTTGGCAACATCCTACTAGCTGCGCAGGAGATGGTGGGTGTCGCCTGAGGCGTCCTCATCTAACCCCGACTGATTTGGTTAGCTCAGATGCTCTTGCATTCTAGAGTGCTTCCATACCCGTATACGTCCGCCCGACTACTTGGGGCCGAACACTTACGCATCTTCCTCGTGTCTGATCATTCAGTCCCTCTTGCTGTAGTAAGCTGGTCGCCCACTATCATAACTGTTAAATAACACTGCATGACGACTCTCTGCAGCTCTTCAAAATTCCTGCACTCACCCCAAGATCGAATGACGGACGCCTTACTCAATGCTCCTCCTGATCTTGCACGCGCTCTTCAAGGCCTGCGCATTCAAGATGCAGAGGAACTCGCAGGTTCCCCCGACGACATCGATCGTGAAGCTCATTATAGAGCGTATATTGTCCGTATCATTTGCCTCTACCACAGCTACGGGCTCGCGTCTGATCGTTTCATAGGCTTCTGCATTCATATATGCATGCGTCGACAACGACTCCAGCAACTGGAGCAATCATTGCCTTTCCTCCGCAGCTGAGCAAAGCTCACTCTTCTCCGATTGCTCGAACGCACCATGCATATCCGTGTGCGAGAACGACGCGAATGAGAGTCTTCTCCATCGTGCGATACGCGCGACACTGCCTGGCTTATCCGACCCTTGCGACCGGCCGTCGGACCAGTTGACTTCTCACGCGGATGCCTGGGCTTGTCCTGTAGAAGGATGCGAGGAGATCATACATCCGTTGAATCTCACGCAGCAGCAGCGCGACGTCGTCGTCAGCTTATCCGGCGACGATACCATGCTTACTCAAGGCACCGACGATGTGATACGTCTATGTTGTCAGGACCCTTGGAAGTTCATGCGCTATGTCGACGCTGTGGCCTGGAACCATATTGCCTGGCATCTCCGCTGTGCGCACATCAGTTTTTACTATCCTCACCCTGATAAACAATATAAGGTGTGTGTCATTTAGAGGTCCCCATCTGCATTGTTGTTTACAACTCGAACAGGAACGCCCCGGTTTGTGGTGGAACGAGACCCTCCTGGCAAGCAATCAACAGCTCTTACAGCAAGTGGAAGAGCTCGAGATCATCAGTCGCGAGAATAGGCGTAGATGGCTAGTGACGAAAGCGATCAGCTCTGCGCAGCGCAAGATACGACGGACGTGCGCTCGCCTTACGCGCTGGCGGTATCTGGCTTTGCAAGCGCGCCGGAAACTAGTCTCCGATATGTTTGGTGTTGATCATGGCATTGTAGATGTGGCGCGCTCTTTGCTTGAACTCGTACGCGATCAAGAGGCTTCAGGTCAAACGGAACTGTATTCCGCTGAGATCGCGCACTATCGTGTCGTGGAGGCGGAATGGACGGAAGAGGGTCTCATGTGGCTATGAATATCACTGTATGCACGTAATGAAATCTACTGTTTCTTTCACAATGTCGAGGCTGATGCGCTGCTGTCGGCCTTGGGCACCAGCAAGTCGCGTCTCGCCCGTTGCCAAGATCCCATCACACGTGATCGCGCGGGACCCGTCTCCCCGCTCTTTGCGCTTTTGTGTGCGTATAGGTTCTTCCTTGATCTCGATTGACCTCCAAGATATTTCAGCACGTCATCTCTCACCTGGAATTCAACGCACGTCCGGAATGGCCGCGGTCATCGACTCCTGGCCGGACTTCCCTTCATCAAGACTTCGACATCGTTTCTTCGGACTCCTTGCCTTATGCCACTGGCACGTACCGGCGCTTCGGAGATCTCGAGGGGGCTACTCCCGAGACAAATAGCGGCTTTCCGAGTCCCGTGATGTACGGTTCATGATAGTCCGTCTTGTTTCTTGTGATGTGGACTCTTTCTTTGTGCTTAACTGTCTCTCCAACCCACCTAGACTTTACTTCTCACTATGTAGCTCAATCCATCCCTCTCATGTGCCTCATAGGTTTCGTCATTTCCTGTGATTGCAGTATCAATCCCTGTATCTATGCGGGAACAATCGACACCTCTACGCATGTTTGCTTAAGATCTCGTCTAACAAATATTTCCCGAAAGCCGGGTCGTTCTGCGGATGTTTTCCGAGGATCATCTTGCGCTCGTTCACGAGATCGAGGTTCGGCTTGCCGCTGTGCAAAAAGCCGACACGTTCGCGATGGGCGCTCTCTCTTACACCCAAGCGTCAGGATCTGCGGATTATTCCAAAATGAATGCACTTACAGATGATTGAGAAGATCCTCTCGCTTGAATTTGTGCGCCGCACGCTTACATCCGCCGAGTGGACACGCGAGCGTCTTCGCTGCATCTAGAAGAGACTTGGCCTGTACCGATCTTGCCTTCTTTAAGCGCCGCTTCTGTGTCCTTGACAACGGTTCATCGGATATGCGCCGTTTCGAAGGAATCAGCGGTGCCGTCGAGCCATCGTGCTGGGCCGACGGCATCGACGGTTCAGGACCTAGTGCAAGAGACTGTAAGAGGTACATCTTGCCCAAAACTCTCGGAGCTAACCTAGAGGTGTGATATCCGGTGATGGATCAGATATGGGGTTCTGTGAGATGGGAATCTCGGCGACGTCGGGACCTGGACTGTCGACCATCATGCCACGGTCATCGGGATCGCATGAGCTGTTCTTGTCTATCTCGCCGACGTCGGGACCTGGATTATCGACCATCATGCCACGATCATCGGGATCGCCTGAGTTCTTCTTGTCTAGCATACGTCAACACGCGTTTCTTCTCGAGAATAGAGAAGACCTCACCTCCGCTACCCGTACTTACAGGCATATAGAGCGGTGCTGCAGAGTAAGACGAAGTCCAGGGTTCTGATTCAGGATCCGAGCGAGTATCGGCTAAATTCTCGACCTGCCAACGTTTATATGTCCACCAGCACATAGCTGCGAGTTGAAGCACGTCTTCTGAGTCACGGTCTTCGCAAGCCAGCCGATGCTCGCGAAGTTGCGCGCTTATACCATCTGAATAGTCAATATTGCTTGGAACTACGAAGTCGACAGCGATCTTGATGCACGGAGTAAGGTTAGTAACCTACATATGCTGAAATTAGCACGTTGTTCACTTGTCTCACGACATCTTACCTGGTGGCCGACTCCGGCCGGTATGAAAACAGCGTCTCCTTGTTTTTGAACGAGGGTCCAGACCCGTACACCAGCGTCCTTCAAGGCTTGAACATCCTGTTCAGTCAGGATCAGCTGCTGAGAATGAATGGGGTGGCCTTTGCCGAAGGAGCCGTGTTTCCATGTCCTTAGCAGGTCTGCCGCGAGGCTCATGTCGTCACGATCTATCATTATCCACAACGCGCCTCCTTCAGCACCCTCCTCCGCCTCCTCCTCGTGGAATAATATGTTGGTGGCGTCAGTCATGTCGGTATGAAGGCGCGTTGTGGTCCCACCAGCGGCGCCGTGCGCAAGATAGGCCTTCGGTCCTAAGCGGCAATCAGCATAGGATACTATTCATGGAAAGGATATGTGAGTAGCACCTGTATCCGGCGGGCATGAGCCTATCGGCATATTCGTCTCAAGGTTAAGCGGCCCTCTTCTCGACGTTATCCAGGGCCCTACGAGACAATCTTCGAATATCCCAAATATCTCGGGAAACTTCACAGAAAAATCGGCCGTTGGCGGCCAGTCCTTCACGTCGCTGTTCAGCGTCGTAGATGTAATGGAGGCGATACGATGACGCACCTGGAGTTTCTCTGGATTATCGGGATCCGGGGGTTTGGCGAATTCATCCATGAAGCTCTTCAACGCAACTTTGCGCTGTACGCCTGTTTTCGTATTGGTGAGTGTGACAATGGTATCGCCGTGATTGTGGGTGAAGTATTCCGGCGTCAAGTTGCGATCACCAGGATGAATACCAGATACCTTCACAGGAATGCCTTTCGAGAGGGCCTGGTACAGCATCGAATAGGTGAGAGGATTGGTTTTGTCTCCAAGGTCGATCATAATCAGATCTCTGCCTGAAGAGAAGGAGCTGCTCGGACGCGTCCTGAATGGGATACAGGTCAAGAAGTGCGACGTCAAGTGACGAAACAAGCACCCGCCGAGATGTCGTCTGCCGAAAGAAGAGACGGGCAGCTTCAAGCTCTCCGCCTGCGAATACCTCAAGCAGTACAAAGTCGTGATTAGGATCATCGCGCCCCCTCGCACATGAGAGGGTGATATGCTAGGAACCCATGAGCGGAATGCACTTCGACGGATGTATATGGTCCGATACGAACGAGTTTCTCCCGTATGCAATCAGCGCAGATTTCCTGACCACAGAACTTGCACATCCGCACAGCGCAAAATAGAGAAGACCTGCATATGTCTGCGGGGGACCATATAAGTATCTTACTAAACCAACGTTTAACTGAACGCACCGCAAGTGGAACGGGTGCCGTCCAGCCGCGGCGTCCAAGGGATGGTAGCCTTGCACTCCCGTCGTGCCTGAGCATGCTGGTCTAAGTCTCGCAGGACTTTGGGGCCACATTCGCTCTACACGTAGCATGTGAGCCTTCTCATTGGACGTAAGTCCCACACAGCCTTACCAGACACTCCCAGACTGACTGCGCGGTCATAGTCGGCGGAGCAGACCTGAACTTGATCTTGACGTCGCGGCTGTACCCCTGCAGACGAATATCTACCAAGCGAGGCTCCGGTCCAGAAGTAACCAGAAAGGTGCGTTGTTCAATCACGTTCCCTTTCTTGTCTGCTCCTTGTTGTTGTCTAAATTAGTGACACGTTACGCTCAACCTGAAATCGGTCTTACTGTAGAACTGGCAGTTTTTGGCGCGCCCTCGCGCCGAGCCTCGAGAGCACTGAGCGCATTCACCAATCTGCTCGGGGAAGATCTTGGCTCGGGTCCTGTTGAAAGTGGCGCAGGCGCTGGTCTGGTACACGGTAATTAGGGACATGAGAGTCAGGACGAACTCGGTTACATACGGCTCTGATGCGTGATGCATGATGACCGCACGGCCGGATATGTGGACCGACCGCGGCCCTCCTCGCGCTTCGGAGTCCATGCAGGAATTGTGCGAGAGGCAGACAGACGTATACTACATGAAGGAAGCCGAAGCGACTGAACAGCATGGTACGCGAACGCGGTAGTCCGCGCGCCAAGTCCGAGTCGGGCTAGCTTCGGAGATGGTTCCCGCGCATGGCACGCGGCATCTGCGCTTTCTATAGTGAATCTTAGTCTCGTTCCCGCCGCTTGGAAAGTTGTTCTGCAAGGGATGTACGCCGGCGAGTAGCGAAATAACCTATCAGTGGGGACTTCAGCACGAATGCGAGAGACTGTCATCAAGAATACGAGAGACCGTCACCAAGGCACAAGCAAACCCCCTGCAGAACGTCCCCCACCCCTCGGTTGCTGCTGCGGAGAGCGGTAGTGGTGACGGCTGGTGTCGAGACTCAATGATTCTGTAGCTCGTCCAGCCCGGTACCTCTTGAGCGGGTGAACAGAGTGCCTGCGTATACATTGCAGACAGTGGAAGATGGTAGATCAGTAATTGTACACTTACCCAGGCTGGGGTACGGCCGGGAGAGCCATTTGAGTCTGGAAGTATCGAGATGTAGTAGAAACGCCTGGAGGAGCGTCCTTGTACCTAACACCGTAGCTAAAGACAACAATCCACTAAGTCACCTATGTTGAAACCGGTTGAACGCAGTCTCGGAAACCCAGCTCCTTTCGACGTGGGCCCTCAGCACCAACCAACCAATCCACCACACTGCTAGTAGACCCCAGGCGGGAAAACAAGAGCGCGACTCTTGCACGCAAGTAGGAATCTATTTGAGACGTATTCTGGCGCGATCTTCTCGCTTCACTGCGTTTGCGCCAGACCCCGAGTAGCATCACTTAGTAGTCGAGGAAATTACCATCGTCTGTATTGGGTGGCCTGGCACGAGCAGCCACACTCGCAAGCCCGGCAGTGTTCTCGCGGGATGGGCGAGGGGGGCCGGCTCAGGACTTTACAGACTCGAGCCTGAGTGTCGCATGAGGGGCTGTATTGTGCTCAGTCCCCTGTGCGCACAGCGTGCGAAACAGCGCAGCCCTAGTAGGTCAGATCACAAATCAATCTTGGTCAACCTCTTGTCGGACACAGTGTATGGATATCTTTGTATCACGCCCAACATATGCACGTTAAAGAACAGGATCGATGTCAAACATCGGATACTGGTAGACCAAGTATGCTGCAGGTGTCGCGTAAGCCCAGAGTCTGCTGAGCAAAACGAGAGGTCCGATCCACTTGAGAGCTGGCAAAAGATGATATCAGTACATGGCGCGGGGAGACACGATGGCAGCGAGGGCGAAGAACACGATCAAGGTGTCCGACATCGCGTACGAGAGGGCAGACGAAAGTCTCGTCGACGTGTTTGATTATAACGCCATAAGCTCTAGGTACAGCTAGCAAGATGGTGTCAGCCAAGACGACATGGAGCCACCACATTACGAGTCGAGCTCTGCAGAAGAGTACACATCTAGACCGATGGATCGAAGGAAGATGAATTCCCGCCAGACGTCTCCGAGTACGACCCGACCGATGCTGCTAAGCCAGACCAACCAGAAGAAGAGATGGACGGTCAAACAATGCCGACGGGATCTGAACGTACGTATCAGAGAGAAGACAGTGGCAACTATGATGCGCACACAAGTCGAGACCATCTTTTCCACCAGACGGCCATGTCGGATGTTGATGTACCACCGCATCTCAGCACCGCCGATTGTTGCGAGATGGCTCACGTTGGAGAGGGAGCGCGTAGTAGGGATCAAGATCAGAGCGTCAAACCAAAGAGTGGTAGCACATGAAGGGAGAAGAATCTACCGGAGAATATACTACTATGGTGCAAACGCGCCGAATGGACGTGCCTCTTCGTGGGGCTCGATGCCAGCGCTCGTGCCGACAGAAGGTTCGCCAGTTGATGTGCCCAGCGATCGTGGGTGCAAGGGCGAGGGAAGCGGTAATGAACGTCATCCTATGAAACGGTTACTGGGCTGGCTTCATGGCGAGCTTCAATTCAAAGTCTGAGGGGTCATGGTGAGAGACAGAGGGCATCGCCGGGGTCGTAGCCAAATATCGGCGAAGCTTGATGGCGTGATGAT